TTGAACCTTTTTTTGGTCGTATATCATGGGAAGATAGTCCTGTTTCAACTTGACCTGTCTCTGTGGGCTGGAAGTGCTCTGCTGTATTAAAGTGCAAGCAGCAGTACTGTGGTGAGTGAAGAGTTAAACAGTTGCAGGAAGGTTAATCTCTTTATCTGAGTTGTGTGTGAAGAAGCCTCTTGATGTTGATATTGTTAATAATGTCTGATTAGTTAGAGGCTCTAGGCCTCAGTTGTGTTTTATACTTAAGTAAGGGTGCGATTTTATGCATGTTTATTCTGACTAATGCACGTTTATCTTAGTACTCCCAGCATCCCTTAGCATCGTGGCTGGGGCATGCTGGGAGTTGTAGGAATCTTGTAGGAATTTTCTGCTGTTTCAACATACATTGGCTTGCCCTTGAAGTTTAAGTTCATTTGTGCTGTGTTCTTGCTGAAAGTCAAAGAACACCACAGAATCTCTTAGGACACCAGCTTCACTGGAGTAACATATACTGTATTTTTCTGTGTATAAGACACTACTTTTTCTTAAAAACATTTACCTAAAAATGGAGGTGTGTCTTATACATGGGGGGTCAAGAGGAGAACTGGGGGCGCGCTGGCGGGGGGAGACTGGCACGATCATGTGCACACGCAGGGGGAGGGCGAGGCCCATGCAGGAGCAACTTGCTCGCTGGAGATCGGTAGGAAAAGTGCAGGATGTCCTATACATGGGGACATCTTATAGATGGAAAAATATGGTATGTACTTTTAGATATAGATGTTTTTTCTCTTCTACTTTCCTTCCTTCTTTCATTCTTTTTTCTTTTTTGCTTTGGCTTGCTACAGCTAGTTCAGTCAATCCTCTTCATTATGGTGGAAACAGGAAAGTATCAGGTATGCCTGGTTTCATAAATGGGTAGAGAATAGCTGGTAGTTAAAAGACTTGCAACCATAAACATTTATCTTGGAATAAGCCTGCTGAAGGCTGCTTCTTAAAATGACCTTAATGCAATCATTTTGTCAAGATGTAGATAGTTTTGTTTCCATTTGCACAATAGGGAAAGCTGCAAATTGAGGCTATAGTTGAAATATTAGGATTTTGGAAAGAGCTGAAGAACCTTTTAACCTAAGTTTTCAACTTGGCACAGAGTCAGACCAACTTCCATGCTTTAAACACACCTTTCCTCAACCCAATGCTCTCCAGTTGGCTTGACTACAAGTCTCAACATTTAATATTTTATATGATTTAGTATTTTACTACATATGATTTAATAGCTGGAAAATGCAAACTCCATTGTAGCACTCCTTCTCTGGAAGTGTAATGGGTGGTGGAGTGGAAATGTAAGATATCTAAAAGTTCTCATTTCCTTTGCAAAAAACAAGAACAAGAACTTTCTGTTGATACTGCTGAGGAATGTCGGATAAAAGACTAATTAATGATTTCCACTCTAGAAAAGGGTAAAGGAAAACTTTACTATGTGGTAAGAATCCCCTAGAGTTACTTTGGTTTATAAAGGTGTTACAGTCTTCCTCCTGTGCTTTTTCCTAGTGGGGTAACAGAGGAACAATAGATGAAGATGCTTGCCCATTGGTCAGCATATTTCAATATAAGTATCAAGCTAATTTTCGTTGTTTATATTCAGAGTCAAATGAAGTGCTATTGTAGTTTTCCTTCTCTGTTTACTTTCATAGTTCCAGATGTTTTGCTGGCCATACCTATCATTCCTCATCATTGATAAGCTATACTAACTTATGTGAGTTGTAAACCAGAAGATGTGGAAGGCACACGAATTATTTATCTCTGCCTTAATCTAATGAAAAGGGCAGTTAGTGGCCATATTCTAAAGGCTCTTTTCCTTGTAGTGCACTTTAGCAGGGCAACTGGACACAGTTCTTTCCAGTGCTTTTCACAATGTGAGATGGGGGTGACACTCTCTTCCTTGTCCAATGGGAAGACAGTCTTAATAATAAATAGGAATAATGTGACTTTGTTCAGAGTAGATCTGCATAATATTCTGCTCTATGCAATTAACACCTTGCTGCTGTTAGTATTTTAAAAACCATTTGGTAGAATCTGCTATTAGTTTACTGGTTGATTTGAGGAGATCAGTAAAGATTTCCAACTCCCAGTGACTTACCAGTAATAATAATGTAAAGGCACTACCTCCATTCTATGTTAAGCTGTTGGAATTCTGGACGAGCTGGCTGATGAAACTTGGTGCTTTATTAAAAAGCAATACTAGTTTGTTGGTGCATCCAACTCTTACCACTTGAGGGCCAAACATCATGTTACACAGTATTTGGTATGTACCTTTGCTTTCTAATTTTCTTTAATTTTTATAGGCACAATGGGAGCATTTGTGGGAGGACTGCAGTCTGTGAAGAGAAGTTTATTTCTTTACATCTCAGTGACACCTCCCATACCTCCATTGATATCAGGCAGAACATTTTTCAGGTTTTTTTTCCACAGAAAAATTTGCATTTCAAATGTTAAGGGGTAACGATGGATGAATGGTGATTACAAAGATGCTAGAGGGTAAACTTGACAATTTCAGAGTTGTAATTATTCATTTCTTATGATTCTCCCTGTCAAATTTGTGAAAGAACATGTATATGTCATTAACATATAATCAGGGCATAGGGGATAACAATGACAAACAATTCAGGAATGATTATGTATTGCACTTTTTAATGATTGCACAAGTTTTAAAAGTTGAACTAGGTGAGTGGTTGTCTGGATATAATGCACAGGTTATAGTTTTCCAAATATCTTTGTTTTTTAATGTAAAAAATGTAAGGGAACTATATTGTAACCCTGTCCCATTCAGCCATGAGTGATAAGGATAAGGATTTGGTTGGAGCTGTGGATGCACATGGCTTTGTGACAAAATGGATAAATATCTTCTCCCCACATTCATAACACCACTACTGTGTCTGAAGAAATTAAAATAAATCAGAAGGCAGAATAAATATTATGCAGTAAGAGTAACATGTGGCTGTTCCCTGGGATTTACAGTAATACCTTGGTTCATGAACACTTCTGTTCATGAACAATTTGGTTTGCAAACACAAAGTTTGCAAAATTTTGCTTCTGTTTGAAGGGTGATGAACATGATCACAGCCATCTTCCCCACACCACAACCATGTGTCAGAGAGTGTTCAAGCAGGGAAGATGGCCACGATCGTGTTCATGTGGGGAAAGATGGTCGTGTTTGTGTTCGCAGGAACATGATCGCAGCCATCTTCCCTGCACGAACATGATCATGGCCATCTTCCCTGCACGAACATGATCACGGCCATCTTCCCCGCATCGTGACCACAGGTCAGAGTGCGTTCTAGTGGGGAAGATGGCCACGATCGTGTTTGTGCGGGGAAGATGACTGTGTTTATGTTCCTCATCTTTGGCAGCACCGGGACAGGGAAAGGCCTCCATGCCAGGATATTCAGACATGGGCAAGTTAAATGTGCAATGAGGCAGTACCTGAATTTCCTGGCTCTTCAGCCTTTCCTCAGTAGCAAAGTGCATGCTTTGCACATAGAGCGTCCCAGATTCAATACTCTGCTTCGCCAGCTAGGACTAAGAAAGAACCTTGCCTGCAACCCTAGAAAATTGTTCCTGGTCAGTGCAGCAGTACTAAGCTAGATATGACTCCTCCTATGTTCCTCTGCTGTTTAGAGCTTTGTGGGCCAATACCAGGACTTTGAATAGGGCCTGGAAACACTGCCAGTGTTGCTATCTGATGTAATGAACCATTTGCTATGCCCCAGCCAGTCATGTAATGCAGTTACTATATTTCAAACCTAGTGCCATTTTCAAATAGTCTTCAAGGACCATCCCAAATTCAGCACATTTCAGTAATCCAAATAGGATCTTAAAGGAACATGAATAATTGTCATCAAGTAAGGCTAGCATGTAACACTCCTATAGAACATATTTAAATGTTCCTCTTATTTTCAGAACGGAATAGCATGATATACCTTTGTAAGGAAGGTAGCACAGCAATATAGTCAGACTGGTTTTTGTGTTTTAATTTGCTGACTTGGAGCCTCCTTGTGTTAGGAGACAGAAATGGGGAGGGAGAACCTTTGGCTCTCAGAAGGCCCTGCGCTTCTCTAGAAACTGGTTCTGCAAGTTCTCAGGATACAAAGAAGATAAATGAGTTTCTGCAGTTGTGGAGCTGTGATGACACCTGCCACCCTGTTACACAAAGTAAAACTGCAGTGAGCTGTATGGACCTCTTGCCCCACCCTTCAGAAACCCTCTATTAATGTTACACACAGCCAGATAGATATTGTTGAACAAGTCTGTAGCACTCCAAGCAGAAAATCTATTATTAACAGTGCTTTTGTACTGTCCATTAACTGTATAGGTTTTAAAAAACATTAATGGGGCATAATTTGTGGGAAGGGTGAATTATTTATATGAATGCTTTCTCTGTTGTTCTGGCCCTTTTCAGTACTTTCACTTGATCTGGGTATTCCTTATGTTTGAAATGTTGATCTGCTAACCCTGCAGTCGGCACACATTATCTAATGTATCCTGCCTAATGTTTTCGCTTCAGATACCAGATAACAGTCAGGAATCGCTGGCTTCCAGCTTAGCCCCAGTAGTAATTTTTCTTTTACTTGGGTTCAGGCATGGGAGAACTTGCTCCGTCTGCAGGAGGGCCCCACTCACATTTATAAGTGTGGTCTCCTTTTTCTCCGCTCATTAACATTAACTCTAAGGCATGGGTGGCCAGACTTGCTCAGTGGAAGAGTCACATATGTTTGAGAGCTACAGTGGGCACCTGTGGGTGGTGGCAGTGGCAGTGGCAGAGGGCAAGCAGCAAGTGGGCACCTGCAGGCAGCGAGACCTAAAATAATCTCAAAACCTGAATGCACCTCATGAGCCTCTGTTTGGCCACCCCTGCTGTAAGAATAACTGTAAGTCTCTCAGTATAATGCATAATCTTCTTGCAGAATTAACTTGTTCCCCTTCCTTCCAGGATCATCTAAATTATGTTTTATCTTCTTTAGGGTGTTTTTGGTAAACCAGCTTGACCATCTACCTGGACATTATGACAGTGTTAAAGGTACTGTGGCAACTGATCATGGTAAAAAGAAACAAATGTAATTCATACTGTACTGTAGCAAATGAGGTGGCTGTGACTTGTCAACAGATGGGAACATAACAGAAATGTGAAGGACTATGGCTTAACAGCATACAAAGCTGGTAGCAGCTGTGAGACTGCCTTGGTATAAGCTGTAGGCAAATTCTAGGTGGTACCTTAGAGCAGTGCTCATGCCAAAACAAGCCAGACACTGATTCCACCTCATATAGCTAGCTGTGCCTGCACATTTATATGTGGCTTACTCAGGTAATCCATTTTATTCTTGGACTAAGATAATGTTACTTACCTAATGATGTTATCTAGTGAAATTCATGACTAAACAGATTTGAAGCCAGGTCTCTATACATCTACTACATAATCCACGACTGCATGTTAAGAGTATTTTCACAAGGCATTACCTTTTGGAATGGGGTCTTGCACTTGTGATTGTTGTTCATTTCACACAGATGGGAAAAGAGCAGCAAGCCAGCCCTAGACAAACTGGGTCTTCAGTGCCCCCCTCCATTCATTCAATTTAAGTATGATTTTTATTGTATTTATAGCCATATCAGGACTTGGATGGTTTCCATGAATGATTTATGCCTATTGTGTAAGGCAGTAAAGTTGCATGCATGAACCTATTAAAAAGTGCTACCTGTTTGTTAAATGGGCAGTGATATTCCACATCCCTCCATAAAGTTAAACCAAACAAAACACAGAACATTAATGCTGCATCGGACACGCAGCTCGATGTTGCCAGCTTTCCAAGTGGGAATGAGTTATTTTTATCATTGTTGTTACAACTCTTGAATGACTAGCTGAGCAGATAGCCCAGGTCCCATGTTCCCGCCAGCCTGGCATCTCAGCTACTTCCTTCTTCGTGATCTCTGTGCACCATACATATGGGCTTTGTGCCTTCGCAGAGCCTATTGTCAAGGAATGAAACACCCCAGAATAGTCAAAAGCAGGTGTCTAGGGAAGAGAATTAAGAGTACTACATCACATATATTAAGTCAGACATGGTTGCTTTTTATTTAATCGAAGGCATGTTTCACTTATTAATGATAATCAGTTGTGTCATGCCTCGTGGTGGCTTGTAAAAGAACTGAATTTAGGAGTGTAATTCCTAGTAAAACAAAATACTTCTTTTTCTTGTTGTTCCCCCAAGGTTTTCACCGTAGTTTGTTAGACGCTTCAAGTGGTACAAAGAAATTTCAAGTCCATTCATATAAAGTACGTGGACAATGTGTAGAGTTAGAGACTGGTGTGTGCACATGTGTGACTTAAGGATCAAGTACTTGTTATTGGCAAAGTGCATAAAAACAAACCACCTGCAGCTTCCTTGCTTGGCAATTCCCCACCCACCCCACCCTGTGAAGCTCCCTGCATATTTTCTGCAGAAGAAGGTTGACACGTAGCTGGAATTCAACATGGGACAGTTTCAAGAAATGCGATGAAATGTGAGGATTGAGTTAAGCCTCTTTTCCTTCCAATCACTGCTACTTCCTCCAGATAGACCCTTTTTCCCAAGAAGAGGAAGCTGGATTATATGTATGCTGCAGTGTTTCAACCTGATTTATTGGGTCTATATGTCGATCTTAGATTTACAGCAGAACATTTCAAATGTCAAATGAAGATCTGTAACACTGCAAGGACTAGCATGAGGCAAATATAGCAATTATCCTTCTCTCCCTATCACTGGTTGGCTTCCAACAGAGAACTGTGAACTCTGGAAGCTCACGGATTCTGACACAGTGATGTTAGTGAAAGCTGTGTAAAAATTAAAAGCAAAAATAACATGTTTTTAAGCCTACAATATTCCAACCATGTATTCTAGAATAATCCTGCAGATGCTAGCAGGATTACCTTGAAATAAATGGTTAGCTGATTGTGACCCTGATGAAAACAAGAGTTAAAAGGTACAACAATTTTGCATATTTAGTGAAGAAATAAATGCAAGGTGTGTTTATTCCTGTTTCTGCAGATACTGGAATTTAGATGAGTGCCTTAAGTTATGTGATGTACAAAACTAACACAAAGGGCAGGTTTACACATAGCAGCAAGCTACAGTGGTTACCGCTGCAGGATGGTCTGTTATGTTGTCTGAACCCTGTCAAAGAACCAGATTCTTGTGACAACAGAGAGGATATTTCTGCCAGAATTCTTTCTCCATGTGAGGAGAAAGCAGAACATGGAAACAATGGGATGTATTTTTGTTCAATAGTCATATTATTACAACTGCAGCTGTTTAGTTGTTGATTCATTTTAGAAGGTGAGGTTTGCAGAAGTTCTGTCAAGCCAGAACAAAACATGGGATGCTGTAGAGTACTCCAGAGCATGTGCAGAGTGAATTTCACTCATCCCAGCCTATCACTCAGCTCCAGGAGTGCAGCAGCAGAGCTTATGGAAGAGAATTTGTGACTTCCAGCCAAGCCTGAGCCCTGGAACTTCTCATCTGGAAATTTAATAACTGGAAGATAACTAGTTACTGCATTTGTTACTGGTTATCTATCTAGCTTTAGTGAAGTTTATACTATAATTAAGTCCAAGTAAGCAAAAAACTAACAGCAGGTAGTAGATCCAGGGTAGAACCTGATATGTTACTTAAACTGATGCTTTCTGTGGCATTTCATCTTTATAATTGCATTACAATCTGTTTCTTGCCTTTCTTAAAATATAGATTAAACACAATGCAGTCATTATTGCATCACCAGTAGCACCTTCCAGTGTAATTCAGCAGAGGATAAGACATGCTCCTTTAAATGGTGAGCACTGCAAATTACTTGGAGGGTTTTTTTGCATTTTACCTGAGCAGTATCTCTTGACTTTTGATTTTATTTTTGGTTTTCCCTTTATCACAGGAAGCCAAGCTAGAGAGGAAACAAGGGCTAACTCTTGTTCCAGCCAGGATAGTCTAACTGGGTGGCCTGTGACTGCGAGTACTCATTCTCTAGTAAGTACAAGTCTTTGCAGGCTATGATTCATAGAATAGACCCTCTTTGTGCAATGTATTCATGTAGATTAGCAATAGTTCTTACTCCTTTAGTGCCTTGCAGTGATGAACATTACTTAAATTACAAGTACTTTAACTACTAGTACGTTCCCTATAGTTTTTATTTATTTGATTTATACCCCACTTTTTTCTTACACTGAAGTCTAAGCAGTTTACGTGAGTCTTCTTCCCCTGCTCTCAATCTTATCCTCACAACAACAGCCCTGTAAGGTAGGTTGGGCTGAGAATCTGTGACTGACCTAGTTACCCAGTTGACTCTATAGCCACGTGCGGACTAGAACCCATATCGCCTGAGTCACAGTCCTGTGCTCTTAACAAGTACCACACTGGTTCTCCAATGTTTTATTAACATTAGCTACACCTGTTTTATGAAAAGTAGTTGATAATTAACCAGTTTATTCCCAGCAATAACAATTAAAGGTCCATTCCTATGCATGTTTAGATGGAAAAGAGTCCTACAATTCCCAGCTGCAGAATGTTGGGAAATGTAAGGCTTCATTTATATCTAAAGGGTACAGTCACTAAGAGTACAGGATATTGTCTGTCAACAGCAGGTATGCTAACTAACAGATGCGAGAAGCATGTTGTAGTAGTATTTATAATGTGCATGGCTCCCCTCCTTCGCAGCAGAAAGGTCAAAAGTTTTAGAGGCATTCTCCACCCACATCTTCACAAAACCTTTATCTCTGGCTTGCCATACTTTCAGGTAGCATGGGCATTATTTCTTTCAAAAAAGTGACATTTCTTTTTCTTTTTTCATTTGCTCTAAATAATGCAAAGTGTGCCCTCTAAATGGCAACTTGACTACACTTGACAGTCTGGTAGCAAAGTGCTTTGCAAATGTGGGCTAGCATGAAATGGCAGCCTAGTTTTGCTTACAGTAGAATTATACTACTGATAATAATGATGACTAAACAGAGAAAAACTGCCAATAAAAAAGCCACCCTCTGAACTCTAGGGAGAGTTTTTTTTCCCTACCTTCCCCACTCCTGAAGATTTGCCAGAAAAAGCTGCTATCAGTGACTCATCCTAGCCCTTATATGCATGGACAAGGGCTTTTATTATTTACAGGCATGTTTTAGGTTCAGAGTCTTGATAAGGGATTGATATTTATTTGTAACCACATGTATCTAAAGTCTGAATTATATTTATTCCTTTCAGACAAGTCAAAATGCAGAAAGTTATTTTGTGGTTGGTTCAAGTTATTTTGTGGTTGGTGGCTGGGGCCTCACAGGGCCCTTCAGATTAGCAGGGATGAGTATCTCACCCCTTCAGGATTCCCTGTTCTTCTTCAGTCTGTGCATCACACCTGTGGGGGCAGCACCTGTGCAGAGCCAACTGTCAGGGAACTACTACAGCTATGCATTTGATTGGGTGGGAGCCCCCTCTTCTGTTCCTGGGTTACATGGGAGGGGCTCCCACCCCTTCCCTTGGTTCCTTTTCAACTGCCTTTGTGACTAGATTGGGAAGTATTTCTCTCCTCAGCCTTAAGTATCTTCTGCATTTTTTCTCTCAAATAATCTTCTCTCTCTTATTATCTTCTCCATTTCCTTACCATATGCATTCCTCCTTCACAACTGCCTCCTTTTCGCTCTTTTACTTAAAAAATTCACAAAATTATGTTTCTATTTGCTTTCTTTCTATCCTTGAAATGTCTCTTATCAGACCATTTCTCTTCACCTTCCCCAGCTACCATGCCGGCTTTGATGGCCCCATTTAGAAAATGCATGAGCTGTGATAGAAGATTCCCTCCTGTGGACAGGCATTCCCTCCAACTTGTCTGCCTCGGTGAGGGACATATCATGGAGACCTGTGCACACTGCCAGGCCTTCACAAAGCAGACCCCCCCCCAAGCATAGGGCAGATCGGCTGAATGTCAGACTATGCAAAAGGGACCTGCAGGCCACCAATTCCAAGAGCTGGAAGGAGTGAGATTGCCCAGCTGCCAGGACTGCAGTGTCACCAATTAGGCCTTGGCTGCATGGGGATGCCCAACTGAGCTTTCCTTTCGCAGACTGGGCTGCTTGTCTTATGTCCATGTGGCTAGGAAAGCAACCAAACATGCTAAGAAAACGGCCACTGCTGCCAAAGAAAAGTGAGGCCCCATGAGAGCCCCTGCTGGCTTTCGCCACTGAGGGAGTGCTCAGCAAGAATTTATCAGGACAACACTACCTTTTATTTCAGTTTCCCTAGTTCTTCTAGCTAGAGTGCCAATTATGCCAATCAAGTTCCTGCATAATAACAAAAGGATGGGGAAAGAGAGACAAAAATGGTGCCAGAGTATAGCCAACTTTGTTTTAATTAGAGTATATATACTTCCAAACTGGATACACTAGAAATTGGCAATGCAACGTAAGATGCAAAGAAATATACCAGTTACTGTCAAAATGACCCTGTACAGCCTTATAATGCAAAAAAGCTTTATACAATACAAATTTCCATTAATGTACACAAACCTTGACAGTGTGATATTTGAGTATGATACAACAAGTTAAAAAGGACAGGGGAATCAAGAAAAGTGCTGAGAATGTAACCAAATTACTGGATGAAAAACAAGAAACAAGCCTATCTTGAAGAATGCATAGTGTGAAAAAAGCAGATACAAGGTGAGCATGTTGGTAGACATGTTAAATGTTTTCTTACAAGCAAAGGATATCTATAGGGAGCATTCCTATTTTCAGCTTCAAACAGCAAACCAATTGTGTATGCAAGGGCTTTGATAAATACTGTATTTTTCCTTAAAAAAATAAAAACACTTCCAGATGCATTTCTCTCTCTCAGAAATCATGTATAACTAACTTTCCAGAAATAATTCAGTGTTCAAAGTGCTAAATAAAGCTGCCCAATTACATTAAGCATTACTATGATAGACAAATACAAAAGGAAAATGGTTAAACCCAAGGCATTAAGTTGCTTATAGCATCATAATACTCTCATTCCTTGAAATTCCTATATATATTGCACCATTTGGTTTACAGAAAATATGTTTTTAACATTCCTATGCATGTGTGGCTTACCTGATGACAAACTTCTTAGTATTTTCTTTTATTATTTTTAATAAGGTCATTGATTGTTTAGAGAGTCAACTAGAAACACCTTGAATAGATTTAATTAACTGCAGCAACTACTTGTAGAAATAAAAGTTTTATAATTCTTGCTGTAGAAGAATTCAGTTTTACATTCTGAATTACTAGTTATCTCCTAGTGAGTAAATTCTTTAGAATTACATCTTCCCTTCAAATTCCTTGCAGATGACATAATGGAGCCCGTTCAATTCAGAGGCAAGAGTGCAGCTAAGTAAATGGTTCAAGAGTGCATCAGAAATGGGTAAACCTCCCATCCACCCTAAAACATAAATAGCTTAAACTGATGGGGAATTACACTCTGTGTGTGTGTGTGTACGCGCGCACGCACGCGCGCGTGTCAATATTGCTACAGCAGCACTTCAGATAATGAAAGTGGATCAGGTCTACCTTGTTCTGCAGAGTAGCACCTATTCCATTGAAGCAGATTACTCGGCATCTCTTACTCATACAGTCATACTGAGAGAGCAGGCTCTGCCACAGCTGATACACCCTTAAGATACTTCCCTGTGTAGCTGAGGCATTGTCCATCCATCAAAGCCTGTTTTTCACGCCTTTCTGTGCCAGGCTGTAAACTTTGTGGAGTTAGGTTATGCCACATGCTGACTGGGTTCACATGATTAAGGAAGCCCATGGGTGTTTTAGGGTTGTCAGTGGTTTGTTGGTCATGCTAACAACCCACTTTCACCAGGTTGACATAACAAGCCAAGCAATAGTTTGACTATTCAAAATGGCTACCTGCCTGTACCATAGCCCACTGTGGCTTGACTAAGACATAGTGGCTTGTTTTATCATGCAAAACAGGAAACTTAGAAAATGGTCCTATGGCCTGTAGACATTGTTTGAGGGGTCATAGGATAGTTTGGATTCTTAATTTTGAGGTTGGAGGCAGCATTCCAATCTCAGAGATGGAAATTGGAGCTCCCCCACAAACCCTGATGCCTCACAGCTGTTGTGGAAAGAACTACTCTGGCTGTTTTCCGAGGTTGGTAAAGCAACATCAGAGTGGGGTTAAGAGGGGTTATTATGTGGAGTTGGGAGGGAAGGAGACTGAAATGAACAATCCTAAAGCCACTCTAGTCTCACAGAATCATAAGAGTCATACTGTTGAAAGAGACCTAGAAGGCCATTGGGTCCAACAGCTTGCTCACTGCAGGGCTCAAGTCTCCCATCCAGATTCTAACCAGGTCTGACTCTGCTTAGCTTCCAAGATTAGGCAGGATCAGGCACTTCAGGCTTCTTTCCCTTCCAAGTCTATGTTGCTAGCAGATGAAGCAGTGAGATGAAAAGTACCACAGCCATTTTTCTTGCTTTGTATTGGATGACCATGAGCATCGAAGTTGTGGGGCCTATGCTCATGTCCATAGGATTACATCCAGAATGATGGTGACTATTACTAGCTATTGCTGTGCTATCATAACTTTGGGTGGAATGTCACTGTACTGACCTTGTCTTACTCATTTTTTTTTTGCCAGAGGAGCAGCTCATATGATGAGTCCCAAAGAAAAAATTTTCACAGAATTTAGTGCAATGAGCAGAGCTCCAAGATGTCTGTGTTAGGAACAACTACAGTAGTGACTTACCATAATAGCTTAGCCAGGTAAAGCAACTTATTAGTTAAAGTATGGAGTAGACTCTCATTACTTTGACTGTAGTATTTTACTTTATATAATGTTAATATTTAAGTTTTCTTTCTTCTTGTCCTCCACTGTAAGCTATTTCTGGTCTTTGAGCTCTTACACAGAAATGGATTTTTCCCTTATGTGTGTTTAGTGGAGGAAACTGGACATGATAATGATACACAATAAACATCAGTGCATGGGCAAGAAAGTAATTAAATCTTGGGAAAAGTTAACAATTGGCTTAGATCATCTATTAGGAATGCAACATTTGCTTCTTACTGCAATAAAGTGCAATATTTATGTCATTTTAATGACCACAAAGTAAGAGCTTTAAGAAAATATAAAGTTAACTTCCTAGAAGAGTATATTTAAGTAGGCAATAACAAAATGATATAAAGGAATACAAATAACATGAAGGGTATTGTTTCTAGAGACACAAAATTGTCAATATAGCTGAATAGCTGGGCATAAAAAAGAGAATTGCGTGATTAAACAGCACCTTTTTCTCCTCCTGTTTAAAAGGACTTGACACTAACTTTTCAAATATACAATCTGATATTTCTTCAGGCAACAAAAGAAACATTTTCATCTTCTACACCTTTTCTTATTTTTGCGAGTGAGAAACATACTAGTGCAAGACTCAAGCACTGTGCAAAACCTGCCTTTATTTAGTCTGAGCACTTTTACCCAGAATTTACCAAACCCTTCCTTTTTAAAATCCCCTTTCCTGGCTTTAAAGTGCAATTCTATACACATCTACTCAGAAGTAAGGTTCACTGAATCCAGTGAGACACTCCCATGTAAGTGGATGTAGAATTGCAGCCTTAATCACTGTACTATGTACGCTCTTGTCTTTGCAAACCAGTGTCACCATTGCAATAAGACAGACTGAAAATTTGTATGCTTGATGTCCTGTTATGAGGGCTGCTTGGTATGATATTTTTGTATTGGCCTTGCATCAGTTTTGAATGTGCATGTGACTTTAAATTGCCTCTCTGCTTGGCAAACCAGGCAAAAAACAAGATAGGGAAATTACTGGGTTTCTGCCTCTAGTTATTTTACCAAGAAAAGCAGCAGTTCAAGCACAATTTATGTGTCCCATTAAAAACTGGTGCCTGGGGTATGTACTTTTCTGTTCAGTATCTGCACTCAAGTACAAAAAGGATTGGAAGGAGTGGCTCCATGTTACATGAGTATTAACAGACAAGTCCGACCTTCTCTATGTATGAAATGCACTTGCTGTTTATAGATCCATGTTCTCTCTCCTGTTGCATGTTCAGGACTGCTTCATCCATTACTTTTTTCCTTCACAGAGATAAATTCTGTCTTGAAATACACGTGTTTACAATAGCATTACAAAGGTAGGAGGAGTGCTTTTTGTGTGTGTTGGGGTCTGAAACAGGAAGACATCCACTGAGCAGCAAATTGGTGATGTCAATATCCAATCTGTGTACACAGAGAAAAACCACCCATGTTAAATGTCCAACACTAAACAGTTGATGCCTTTGCCTGTTCAGAGATTATCTCTATCTAGGAAAAATATAACAAGTGAAACAGCTCACTTTGCATAACTGAGAGTAATATCTTCTCCTCTAGAACTGCTGCAATCCTCAAATTCTTGGATCCAAGACCAGACTAGTGACTCTACTTTAGCAAACAGTAACCTGTACTAACTGAGGCGCCAATGCTTCTTGAACTGAACACAGCTGTTCTTCCATTCTAGTAACTGTAGCATAAACAGAAGCAGGCAAGGTGGAGAGCATGGAAAACCACAATAGCTATTTCAAGGGATAGGGCCTTCGCTCAGTGATAGAGTGCATGCTCTGCTTGTAGCAATGTCCCAGCTCAATCCCCAGTGTCTCCAGTGAAAGGATCTCAGGAGCAGGTGCTGAGAAAAAACCCTTGCCCGAGACCCTGGAGAACCACTGCCAGTCAGAGAAGAGAATACTGGGGCCAAGGGACCAAGGGCCTGCCACAGCCTAAGGCAGCTTCATGTGTTCATATTAAAGCAGCCAGTACAAAAGATGTGCAAAAGCAATGTCATGGCACACTGACTCTCTTTCCAACAAACTCAAAGTAAAATGCATCAATATGTAATCTTAGCAAGTGCTGATTGCCATTAAGGACGCTCTTGTTCAGCTTAAACAAGACAAAATAGTTTCTTAGATAAGAGTACTGGGAACATGCTTCTGAAGGTAGAAGTATGCAGGAGGTCACCTCTCTCAAGTTTTCATAAAGCAGCCTTCCATGTCGATGCATTAAGGAGGAGACACACAGAGCCATTTTTTTCCTAAACCTTACTACTAATGATCTATAGTACAAATGTTCAGCCAGCCATACCTTTGGGTGTATGGTTTGCAGCAATGCATATACCTGCTGGGTATCTGTTGTGTTGGGATAATGGGGAAAGTATTTTTGGTACAGAATATGGCTGCCTTCAGACAGTTTCTGCCCTTTCTGTTAGTCCAAGATAGGCAAGGAAGGAGTGCTTCGGCGACGTGTCACCCAGGCATACAGTCTGTGGTCTGGGTGCATGGAATGTGATCTCAAACTGGTTCTTGGGGAAAAACATGGTTAAGGGAATGAGGTGGGCAAACTCAGAGTTTCGATACTTGTCAAAGCACAAGGAAGTGCCATTTATGGCCAAGGCCTTAAGTGCCAGGTTTGGCCCCGTCCCGCCACTATGCGCAGCTGACAGAGCCACCGTCTGCAAAGCCTGGGAAGCAGACATCACTGAGAGAGGGGACAAGAGGCTTCGGGGACTGTGGGTGTTCAGTAGAGGACTGGTCTCCTTGGCGCCTGCCCCCTGGCCCTTTTTCTCCTCTTCAGAGTAGTCCCCATTTTGGTGCTTCTTCACATGGCGGCTAAAGACAAAAGGGTGGGTGGTCTTGAAGAGGCACTCTTCGCAGCTGAACGTCTGCCGTGGAGCATGCTTGAGCTTCTTGTGCAGGTTGAGATTGTCTTTGCGTTTGCAGCTGTAGCTGCACTGGTCACAGTGAAAAGGGCGTTCTCCAGTGTGTACACGCACATGCTCTATCAGCTTGTTGGCCGTCTTTGAAAGGTAGCCACACTGGTCGCACTTGTAATGGTTGCCAAGGCGATGTTCCCGGATGTGCATTTCCAGCTCCAGCTGATTGGCTTTCACTGCTTGACAGATCCGGCACTTGTACTCCATTTTATAATGAGTCTTCAAATGGCATTCCATTGCAGCTGGACGATTTGTGGAATAAATGCAGAATGGGCACCTGCAAAAAAGCAAGCAAATGTTGACACATGGGTCTAGCTAATTATTCTGCCAAACATCCTTTCCCATTCTATTAGAATACAGTGTGCTTAATTCAGTATGGAACTACTGACATTTTGTTGCCTGAAGCAGAACCCAAACATATTCCCTCCCAGTAAAGCCAACACTTGAAATAGTTTTGCTTGAAGTGCCCTCTGCTGTCTCTTGGTTTTCTCCCCTGCCTGCATTTCTCACTTTTTAAGAAGTTGCCATAACAGTGGAGATGAACCATGATTTCTGTGGTGATTTCTCCTCTCAATGTCATACTAAGAAAGTGTGATACTCCTTCCTTAGAATGGGGCATTGTAAGTTAGGCAGCCCGAGAGCAGGTTGCATTACCATCCCACAGTAGCACATAATGGTTAAAGCTTAAGGCTTTAACAGCAGCTGTTGCAGCAAAACAGCAGCAGCAGGTGACTAGTTCTCTGAAGCCACCTTACCCATAATTCCATGCTCTGAGGAAGGAGTCATGCTCAGGAGAACCCAATAGGAACTCCTACTGGCCACTTTTATGAAAAATTTTGTTGCCTGTAAACAGTATATGCTGAAGCGGCAGCACACAGCTGCTAGTTGGCTGGTAGACAGGCTCCCTGATCAAGGCAGAGGTGTCAAACATAAAAGGATGAATCCAGATCACTGTGCTGATCTGAGCTGTATCTGTTCACGTGTAGGACACAGCCATCCCCTCATGATGCCACTGATCATGTGGGGAGACCTGTGGCTCTTGTTCTTGCCCTGCTGCTAATTTCAGTAAGGCATTCTTATCGCTGTCTGACACTTGAGCAATCTATAGGTCAATCTTCTCGAGCAATCTACATGTTCTTGCTCTGTTGCTTATTTCAGTAAGGCAATCTATAGCAGTCTTTAAACTGGAAAGACAATCCAAACATTTAATAAATAAATAAATAATGAGAGAAGTTGTTCTTGGTACTCCACTCTCAATAGAGAAGCCCACTATTTGATCTTAGTTCAGCCTTCACAGAAAAGCAAGACTTTAATGAAGAAAGTGTTATGTTTGTGGAGAAGAAAGAATGATGACCAGATTGCAGTCTTGTACAGTGGTACTGTAGCAGGGCTCAAAGGGATGTTTCACTTTTTCTTTTTGGCAGAAGTTAGTATCTGGCCTGTGCCTGCCCCTAATAATTCAGTGATATAAAGCAATATATTTGGGAGTATCTTGAGCTTGAACAGACAAGCAAGACCCAGCCGGTGGAGATAATACTGCTAAAACTAGTTTGTTGACATGAATCAACAGAGCTGCCTATATTTTTGGATCCTCCTGCAGGTGGGTTGGCTATGGAGACTGTCAAGATGAGTGCTTGCATGTGAAAATGTACTACTCATCCTACAGAAAGTATGTTTGATATAGTGCTAAAAATACATCTTCAAAGGAGCAAACCTAAGCTCCCAGGGAAGGGCCTAAGAGGCCACTGGATGTCACGGATGCTCCTTTCCTTTGTCAGATCTTCCTCTCTACAGATGGAGAAGGTGATTCACTGTGGGCAGCCCCTTCATAGGAGTGACAGAGAGTAAGGGGGAAGGGCAAGCTAGAGTGGAGTGGAGGCAGCCTTGGATACCCCAGAACCAAAGCTCCCTCCTTCTCCTGACAGAAAGAGTGAATGCCAGCCCTGGAATTGATGTACTTATTAAACCAATAGTAAGGAAACATTTTGAAATAGGAACAACCAATAGGAAAAAGAGCATGGAAAAAGAAAAAAAATCTCCCAGCATGGAAAAAGAAAAGAAAAAAACTCCCACTTGCATTGGTTCTAATAGGAATAGCTCTGTAAATTTAGAATATGTCCTATAAAAGAGAAAGTTGCCTTATTGGAGACTGTCTTGCTTGTTCAGTGTATAAAACGGAAACAAAGTTCAGCTGGTAAAATACAATGACGTTTCAGCTGACTAGGTGATATGAAATGTTTTCTAAACTGATGGGGATATTTTCATATCACCTGTTTCGAGGAAAAGCTATATAAGTTTGCCATTTCTGGTTTTAACAGTTATAATGTTATGTGTTTTTAGCTCATGAAGAAATACCCATTTTGGTGTTTTGACGATTTTGATATGTTTATGAATTAAGGCTTCAGTACATCAGCCTTTTAACTGATTTTTTAAAGCAGAAGCTTATGTTTCTGGTTTCTTTGTAGCATTAAAATCTTCCCCATTTCCCCACCCACCCCAATGGATTTTCTGTGTTTTCTGAATGTTTCATTACACAAGCAAACTAATGGAATATAGTAGAATTACAAAAATAAACCCGCTTCACATTGCAGCTCGTTTTACCATTTCCAGATAATGCTACACTTTTCTTGCTTTAAAAGAAGTTGCAGAAATGCTTGGAAAGCATAGGAGAGGCCCTGGAAGAGGATGACATCATGTAAAGCACCCATAAACTGTCATGAGTGATGGATTGCAAGCACATAATAAAGGTCTCACATAGAAACCCTGTCTGTCTATCCTGTATATCACACATGAGTAAACAGAACTTCCATTTTAAAAAGTATAGATCTATATTTTTGGTCACTCTTGGAAATACTATTTTCCTCCCAATTACAAGCCTGAAACTGTAATGGCAATTCCACAGCCTAACTTTCCAAGTTATATACAGCCTGGCTTGCTTTGTACTGAAAGGCTATCCTCTAAAAGGGAACAATTAAGTCCTAAAATGTCTCATTTCCAGACTCCTATAATAATTAGTATATCTTGGATTACATGTGTATCAAATGTTAACTTCTGCCTTCTAGGCTGAAGTTCCTTACAATGTAACCTAACCATTTTGGTATCTCATCGCTGAGTGACTGAGGTAGTTATTAGCCACAGTGATCAAATTATGAGGAGAATGGCTGAAAGTTCCTTATGGAGTAAGTTCACACAACATAGCTTACATTCAAGGATGAGTATGGGTTGCTGCTGAAGTTTGTCTTGTTACCCAGTTGTCCATACTGAGCCTTGAGTGTGGGTCATCACGATGTGTGAACCCAGGCAATGGATCTGCAAATCCCACCCACCCCAACTTCCTCCAGTTTCAGCCATATTATGGCATTTCTAAAAGCAGTAGCTATAGAGGCTGCAGGGCAGAGCCAGGGGTTCTCTCCCCCCCCCCCCCCCCGCCCGTTGTTTAGGCCAAGTAACTATGAGCAGAATTCATATTCATATTCTAAAGTACAGTATTGTGCAATGGAAGAGTTAAACATATGGTTAATTCTCTGCCATGAAAAACAATGGCACTTCAGCTTAAAGTAAACCAGGTTGTATCCCATTTTAATGGATTGACAACAAAATCTAAAAGCCAGTTTAACACAAGCATTTGGAGTCAACTAACATGCATGCATATTTACTCACTAAGTATCACTATGTTCAGTTGGGTTTACTCTCAGAGAAGAGTGCATGGTATTGTAATTTGAATCTAATTACCTGAAGTGGCCAATGAGACTGAATTAACTTAAACTGAAATTCTGTTGTGACTTGGGCATACATTTGTCTTTGCTTGTGTTAAGTGACACACATTCTTGGTACTGAATTACAAATTCAAGAACATGGCATGGGGAGTCAAGAATTATTGACAAGATACACATTTATGTATTTTAGATGAAAGCATCAAGTAAATTACGAATTGGTATGTATCACAGGGAGTTACAGCCTAGAAAACATCTCCCGTCTCAGTTGCACTGATAATGTGCGTTAAACTGAAGATACAATCCTGTGTTCCTTTATCCATGAATAAGTCCTATGGAATATGGTGAGACCTACTTCTCACATGCATGGGGTTAGAAGTTTAATGACCCCTATACAATTTTGGCAGCTCAGCTGTAGTAGCAACTGCTGCAAATATTCAGTCCTGAGCTCTAACTAAAGAGAAATCAACTGCACATTTCTACTTCATTTCAATGTTCTCCTAATATTGATGTATGGAGGAAGGTATCTGATGCTGATGCTGATGTTCCCCAACCCCATTCATTTTGAGGGAGATCATTACATGTAACCCAGTGAGTGCAGTGCCTTAGCTTTGCAGGAATTTTATGTATACACTGAGTGATCATGGAGTTCAATCCCTGGTAACTCCAGTTAATTTGGTAACAAGCGATATGAAAAAGTTCTACCCCAAACCATAGGCTGCTCCCATCAGTCAAAGTAATGCAGCTTTCTAGATTCCTCTGGATTAGGTAATAAATGTTTACTATTAATTTTACTAGTCACGCTTGTCATTCCTATTTTTGTTAAGAATTTATATATATTATGGACAAACCTGATTATAAAGAGCTGCTTTAGCTGACAAGGTACCGAAAAAGTTGCATGCCATCGCAAGTAAAAATACCCTAATATTTGTGTCATTCAGGGTGCAATCCTAAGCAAATTTCAACAAAAAATAGATCAGCTGGCAGGAGCATGCTGGGAGTTGTTGGCATCTCTTTCTAAGTTTGCATTAGATTGTATCTTTAGTATTGTTCAACAGTGTTATGCTTGTTCAGTCCAGTATCTTGCTCGGGAGACTGATCTGTTTTGCTGATTTGTGACAGTTAAAAATCATCAGCAGAGTGAAACTGCAGGGCTCTGGCTACCTAAACAGAAATGGTTCCCATTCAAACATTTCTCTGTTTCGGTCTCTTTGAGGTACTTAACACAGTAAAAGTTTGTGTACTTGCTTTCCTTACTTGAGCCCACCAGTGGGGACAGTGTGGCATTTCTTATGCTCCAGTAATTGCTCAGGAGTCTTCATGAACTTGTGGCACACATCACATTCAAACATCCGTGTAATCAGGTGGATTTGCAAATGGCGCTCAAACATATTTTTTGTTTTGCAGACAAAGTTACAGAAAACGCATTCAAAACCTGCAAGAGGAAATCACAGACACTATTACTTAAGTCAAACACCACAGCCTTGAGGTAGGGAAGGGAACATCTTTGCATCCATTCCACCAACTTTTTACCTTTCTCTGACTTTTCTTCTGTGTTTAAGAAGGTCTGACTACCAGGCACTACGGAAATAACTAGGAGGTTTGAACCCTTGAGTTTGGGGCTGATCTCTGCCTCTTCTTTGCTGTTGGCAGAATCACTAAGTGCTGACAGGGAAGAAGAAGAAGGGCTGTTTGAGTCACTGGGTGTCTTCCTCTCTTCACCTATGGAGAAGACAAAGCAACCATCCCTAAACATTAGATGACTTATTTAGTACCAGGATTATAATAAATTCATGCCTCAATGCTGGGAAGATCCATGCATAAAAGCAGCTATCCTCACACATTTGCATTCTCTCATTTTCATCCACACTACAGTTTTCATCCAGCCCACCTGATTTGGCTGGATGTACATTCACTTACAGAGTTTCAAATAGCAATACAACTACTTGTCCTTGACTAAAGCTGGACAGGGGCCCTATTCTTTTCTGCAAGCTCTCTGTTACCCAAGATCTAGAATTCTTAACATGCGTCATTATGCTTCCAAGGGCTTCTCTGTATAATTTTTTTTTCTTCCTTGAGTTATTGGCTCCACAGCAGGGATGGGCAAAACCTGTCCACCTGCACTCCAGCCAGTTGTGCAGCTCCTACTGCCAAATTTGCTGACAACAAACCCCCATCTATTTCACTTTAAAACAAGAAGCATGTTTTGTTCGAAGGAAAAAAAATATTCCCAGAAGCCTCCAGGGGGCACAATTTTGCTTTAAAACAAGGCTTGTACTATCTATGCATATTGTTTTTAATGAAAAATTGGTGGGGTTTTGCCCTTTCTGTGCTGCTGAATTTCAGCAGCAGATTTGGTGGTACAAGAGCAAAGTGGGTGGGTGGGGAGCTACTGGTCCCCTGACCCCTGTAAGATGCCCACACCTGCTCTACTACAATCTTTCTGGCATATTTTGAGGATAAAATGGAGAGGAAAAGCACCATCAAAGCAGCCTTGGGCTCCTTGAAAGAAGAATGTGGACTAGAAATGTAACAATGATGGTGGTGATGGGCCTGCTAATACGATACTGTGTCTAGGCTGCTTAGGGCAGACGTTCCCGTGCTGCCTGCAAAGGATGCCCACAAATCCCTTCATTCTTTTCACTGTTCACTTAAAAAAAAAGAAGGAAGGGAAAAAAAAAGAAATTACTACAACCCTTCAAAGTGTTATGGTATCATGGTTTTCTTCCTGTTCCTGAACCTGCTTTTGATCAGCTGTTGCTGGGCAGGCGGAAAAAGCAAACAGTTGCTTTCTGTCCCTGTCCAATCTTCCACTCACACAAACCTTTCCCCCTTTGGTATCTCCATCACCCCATACTCAGCCCCATACCCAACCTCACTTTCTCCCTATAGCCCCTTTCCTTGCTTTTCTCTCTTTCCTGACCCTACCGCTGCCTCTCTCTCCCTTCTACCCCCTCCCCTTCCTACACCTACTTTCCTCTCCTTCCCAGCCACTACCTTTGCTCACTCTCTCCTCTGTACATCTTTACCCCACCTTTGACTAGCCAGACCCCAGCATGGCAGCCATTATGTGACTAGCCCCCACAGTAGCCTCTGGCTTAGAGTGATCTGTGCCAAGCAGGTAACAAGATGGTTCTCTAGGTAGGGGCTAGGCCAAAATAAACAGTACTCAGCTGTACAGTTCCAGACAATTTAATTTGCAGGACAACATTTCTTGAAAGCAATGCAACCACTTGCACTGGTTTACAGTTTTGAGCACTAGCTGAACAGCTTTTTATTTAAACATACCAATGGGATGCGGTTTCTAGGTCCTTCAATGATTATGTGATCCCAAACCCTCAGATGTTCTTTTTCTGCATCTTCCTAGCCCCAGAAACTTAGTAAGTGCTATCTGACAAGCTATCCCCTTCCATTCTTGTTAATCACACTTAATAAATAACTCCCCCCCTTTTTTTTTACAAAGGAAAGCCCAGTGTAACATCTTTTGCAAACCCTTTTCGTAGGCACTCTAGTGAAGCATAATGTGCATGCACTGTAGGGATCCAATGAAATTTTCTTTTCAGTCATCTGCACCTATGCAACTTAAGTGTCAGAACTGGGCCAATGATATCATTTTGTCCTTAAGGGAAGAACAAAGGCAAGTGGAATAGCATGCTGGCAATTTCCATTACACATCCTAACCAAAATGACTGCCCCCCCCCCCCCAAGACAAAATCCTTCCAGATGCTGTTTTCACTTGAAAGTGGAAGATACCTGAAAGATTGCAAATTGCAATCTATGCGCCACTTGGAAAAATGCATTACAAATTACTTTCTAAAGTTGGATGCACCCATAGTCATGAAGGCAGAGCCACTGGACCAAGGGAGCTTAATTTAGTTACTAAGGTAAGTCCCAGTAATTTCTATGGGTTTCCTAAAAACATGACTAAGATTGCCCAACATATTTTATAAGTCCCTGTACTGTTTCCATCTGGACTGTGGAATTTCATGTTATTTTGGAGGCAAGAGTTCTCCATAAGGGCCTCTGTTTCAGGCAAGCAGTGCTCCTGCATTCTTCCACAGGTTAAGTCAAGAGGAAAGGGCAATCCTCTTGACTTTTGCTTGTAACATAGACTTTAAAAGGTCCTCATACTCTGCCAATTTCCAGTACTTCTTTTCTGAGCATTCCAAATAGTTGGGGAGAAAAGAAGCCAGCACTGGTTTGGCGTGCTAAGAGGGAGCGCATACCTCATCACTATTTCTGTTCATAAGAAAGTGCAAAGCTCCTTCAGTTATTCCTACACAGAGATATAGGGTCATGGCTGCTCCTCCTTGCAAAAGCTATCCAGGAGGATTTGTACATGACAGTATCTGAAGCATTTGCAAATGAGTCACATGTAGGGAGTGTGAAGGGGTGTTCAGTGGGCTCTTGCATTCTCTTACCTAATGAAAGCAACTGACATTCAGAAACTTTTCACACAGCGGCAGCCTCAGTTAATCAAGACTCACACTAAACAAAAAGGGGACTGGACGAAAAATAAACACTACCATTTTAACACATGACAGGTTAAGAATTTTGAAACCAATATGCCCCTAAACTTGCGTGTGAGTATAGTGCCAGGAGAATTTTGCTATGATGGTGGTCCAACTGGGGCAGCATCAGCCAACATTTCAGTGGAGAACTTGGGAAGTGTGAGAGAGGTGGCAGCAGGAGACAACCCCAAACCCAGAGAGCGGTTATCACCTGCATGCTTGGCGGCGACATGAGCCTTCATCTCTGACTCTTCCATGGTTACAAAATCACAGGCTGTGCAGCAAATAGAAAACATCCACTGTTCTTTATCCACATGAAGCGACATATGACTGACAAACTGGACATTCATCTCGGTTTCAAATCCACACACATGACAACTGAAAGCAGGAGAGAGTTAGAAAAATTAAGAAGTGTGCACTTATGGAACCTCTCTGGAACAGACAAACATCAATTCTTGCCATTCAACCTGACCAGCTCCTGGTTTACAAACTTTGTCTTCTCTGTGCTGTTTAAATTGCACTGGGATATCCTTTCATCTGTTGCAATGCTTCAGAACTGACAGCCCTGCCAAGCTGATTAAGGGCAGGCACAAGGCAACAATCCCAAACATGCTATAATGATGCTAAATAATCATAAAGTTAATTAAAAACTACAGGTTCCAGATGCTGCACATCACCTAGCTATTTCCTTTGGGCAATAAGATGTGCTGCAGCCTTGCCAAGATGTTTAGTCAGCCTGCTACATGGACAAACTGAGATCTTGCCACATACTTCACGAGCAGCTCCTGAGCTTTGGAAATGGTCCCATATCAGGTTGGGCTCTCATGCAGAAATGCCGGACATTCTCAACGCAAGCAAGCCAAAGAGGGCTTAGGGATTCATTCTGCGTGTCCAGGCAAAAAAATGAATCAGCTATGCATACACAAGTGCTACAGAAAGACAATTTTGCAGTCAGCTCATAGTCCTGCTAGTCTTGGGAGAGGCTACAAAATTCTCTTGGTTATCTCTAATATCCTAAGCAGCCTAGGATCCAGGTACATCAGGAATCACCTTGAGAACCTTCCTCAGTCTCTGAGGCCTTTCTACCTCTCGTGTTCCCAGACTGGATATTGGCAATGAGAGAAAAGGCTTTTGACATGATGCCCCCATTATGGAAAGATCTCCCCAGAGAGGTGGATGAATGCCAATGTTTAATTGTACACTGAATACAGTTATAGTTCAGTGTGTGGGTGTTTTGCGAATGAAGTGATAGCTTTATAGGCTTTTTCTGTTTTATTTCAACTTTTGTTTCTGGTGCTTGCTGTGAGCTGCTTTGAGTTGGCCTTTGCTTAGAAAGGCAGGCTATGCATGGGTATATACATGAATGTACATAAATATAAATAAATAACTCATTCTATAGCTGTCTTTATAGATCTCTCATTTGTTCAAAGGCATTCCTGTTTAAATTAAGTCAAAACAATGAAAACTTCATGGACATTCCAGCCAAGTTGATCAACAAGAACACTGAAAATGACCTAATTGTAACCAGACAGCCAGTGCCCAGTTCACACAATTAGCCTTCTTGTGGCCACTCAGAAACACTTAGAGGTGACTCTGCAAGACAAAGTTTTTGGGTATAGCTGCTTGCAATAAAAATCTCTCTAATTTGCCAAGCCATTTTGGGCAGTTTATAGTCCTGTGATATTGAAGGTAAACAGAGCATCTGTGTAGTGAGCAGCTACCTATGAAAGACCCATGCATGAAGTCAAACATGGTCTGGATTGCTTCTTTCTTTGCACTGGACCTCCTTACAGGGAGAAACTGGACAAGCACATGTGCTGGTGAAATCATCCAGTTAGAGCCACTTGTGTGGCTGCTCTGGAATGTTACAGAAAAGCAGCAAGATTGTGACGTTCCCATACTGGCTTATCCCACATTTCAAAGGGTTTGCAGAAGGCAGAAAGGTGAGATTTCACAAAGCAGTTATGATGATACTTGGCTCAGCCCATCATACATAGTGGGTATCACAGCTCCTGAATCAAGCAGTGCAGCATTCTTCAGCCAGTCATTCTAGAACGTGAGAGAAAAGCCTGAATTTATGTACAGTGTGAAGGGCAGGGACTTAGCACCGGGAGGGATTTGGGCATGGACTAGGGAGTCCAGCAAGCTAGAAGTGGGAACTGAATCAGAAAGAGGGAGAATAGTATAGATCAGTCTAGTATCCTCCAGGTGCTTTGGATTTTGATGGTTAAGAATACTGTACACATTGTACTACAAAACAGCTGGAGGACTCCACACAAGGGAAGGTTGATGTAGTGCTATCATTTTGGTGTTTTCCTTGCTCTGACCTTGGTCCTTGCTGAAGTTCAAATGGAGGCAAGTCATGTATGCTTGCCAGGTTAGGAAGGAAGGAAACAACAGGGCTTGCTCTTTGCTCGATTCAACAGACAGGCAGAAAAGGCAGCAGGAACCAGGTCTCTGGGCTTGGCTTTCACTGGGGTCCTCACCTGTAGTAATAAGGGTGCTTCTTTCCATCACTGCCTTCGGAAGTGACAGCGCTGACAATGTCCTCAGTGTCTGTACTCACCAGCTTCACGGAATGGACAGTCAGGTGCTGGTTCAGGTTAGCACGGCACTTAGCAGCATATGGGCACAAATGGCATTTGTATTTTCTCTCTTCTAGAAAGAAACATTAAACACCCTGAATGAGGAATTTCCACACACATACCTCTGACCATATTTGTGTTTTACAAGAAATGCAGGCAGGGTGCATGGGCTCTTCAGCATTCTTGAAGAGTAGCCTCTCACTTTTAAGCTTTGCAGATGCTCACGGCAGAAGGGAAATACCTTGTCTATCTAGCTTCGGCAGCGGGCAGATTCTGACAGCATAGAATGATGCAAGGTGTGTATTTCTAAAAACGGATGATACCTCCCACTATGTATGTATGCCTCTCTGATGGAACATTGCAAAGAAAATAAACCTGATGAACATGCAAAGATGATTCTGTGATAATGGTTGAAATATTATTTCTAATATACAAATCCATGTTTCAGATATATTTTTAAGCCTGTTCATCCTTCAGAATAATATCAAACTCTGGGCACAATCCATCCAAAGGTAAGTACTTGTGAGCCATGCTTGTTTCCATGAGAGATTTAAATACATGCTTAGATCTGTCCTATTGACATCAGTGTAGTTTAAAAATTCTTAACTTTGGCTGAGACAAGCACATTGCTTCGAAGTGTTATAAAACTTTGTATTACATCAGTTCCTACTAAGTTTCTGAGAACTGCTTGGCCTACATATAATAGGGAGGTACACATGAAATGGAGGTACCTTTTATCAGACCAGCTAGTTATCTGACTCTATCCCTCTGGGCATGAAAGTATGCAAGACCTTAAAACAAAGACGTAGCCCAGCAGGAGATGTCATTTCACCTTTTATCAAGTTTCTCTAAACATTACATCCCTAAAAATAATATGAAAGGGCATTTAATTTGCAAATGTAAATACATTCCAGTCCAGGTGCGTGCAATATTTTTTTACTTTTGAACACAGTTCATTTGTGATGGTCAGTGGAGTACATGAGTGTTTGTGTGTTGGGAGATATTTGTGTGAAAATGTAGCATTAAGTTGCTTTGCAGAAAAACCTGATAGGTATGACAAATACTACTAGGATTTAAGAAAGAAACATAATTGAAAAAAAAGACAGCTCACACAGTACATCCTTCCAACTTTGGTTTTTGCAACTGAAATGATAGCATGCACTGCTGCAGAATGAATAGAGATACAACCTTTAGTTCTGCTCCCTGCCTTCCTACCCCATGCTTCAGTCGGGCTGTTTAACAACTTAAGAAGGCAAGTTTCAAAACTGCAAAACTGTTCTGGGAACTGAGATGCAGAAGTGCCTTGGTGATAAAAGAAGCGGCCAGCAAATCAACACTGGGAACAGCCAAACTCTGGATGCACTGGGGGCCTTTCAGATTGTCTGCCTTGCTCCTTATTTGTTATGTCTGCTTTATCCTAAAGAACATTGGAACTTCCTTTTAAAAATTTCTAAGAATTTAAGACTAAACTCATCACCCACTTCTAAACCCTAAAAATATTTGCTGGCACCCAAATTGGTGGCATTAGTAGGAAAGGTCTGGCAATGCTTTCAGAGGCTGCAATCTGCAAACTAGTACATTCTCAGAATTTGGATTTTAGCCATTATGTTTGAAACACACTGGAACTTTCTTTTGACAGCAATAAGGCCTTGAAATCAATTGAGTTAAATCAGTTGAAAGTAAGATATCCTAGATTTCATTAGTAGGTAGACTAACTTTAAAAGCCTTTACTATATAAAATTTGTTTTTCTTAATAAAACACAGATGTGCTAAAAAAAAGACTTGTCTCATTAATTTAAATTAATGCATTATATCCATTTTACCTCAGTAATGTGTGTGAGGCTTTCCTTTAAACCTCTAAGTCTAGATCAAATAATTCAGATTCAACATTTGGGCAATATTATCCAGAACCTAATCAAATAGGATTATCTGTGGTTACATATCTAGATTTAGTGTTTATTCTAATTGCTTTGTAGCAAATGGTTGTGCAAGAAATAGAAGAACAGTTTAGTTCACAGTGCTAGTAAAAGCACTCTGTTTTTTCCAGCTTTTTATCTTACTAGTTACAGTATATTTGGCATGGCCATCATTCAGTTTGGCTACAACAATTCAAGTTCCTATACATTCTGAACTGTGATTTTTGCACATGTAGTTACTGCAGTAGTTTTGGTCACAAATCTGATCTAAAGCTATAGAGACCATTTTTCTAAGAGAAAAAGATGATAGAGTGAAAGTACTCTCCAGAATCCCTTTGTTTAGTGTGGGGAGAAATGAACATGCATACCCTACATTTCCTTAGGTTTAATTCTTATGAAAAATACTAGTGTAATACGATACTGCAGTTCTGTGGTGAGGGTTGTATTCAACATGCTGCAACATGAACATAATGCTGAACTACACATACCTTACCAAGCTATTAACAGATAGCAGTATCAACTCTGAGAAGGGACTAAGTCAAGACAATCTGTTTTTCCCACATTTACCAGTATTGTTTGCCCTTGAAAGGGCATAGCTAAAGCCTAAGTTTTTTTAGGTTATCATATTCCTAAGTAAGCCACCAGGTACTTTGGATGTCAAATCTTACTTTAGGACCCTAGGCAGCTCTTTTCCTGAAGAGCCACTATGAGAAGTAAATGAGATGTCAGCATCTCAGCCTTCACCACCTGCATAGCTGTAGATGTGATAATCTTTGCACTGTTTTCCTTCTAGGCTGGCAACTAGGCAGCTTTTTCCAGGGGCTTGATTTGGCCAGGGGCCTCCTGGTTTAGGTGCATTTCTGTTCTGGTTTTGAGACCTTGCCTACAAGTGTTGCAAAGAATGTTGGAAAAGCATAGAGGGTTGTCAATCCACCATTATTTGCATGCAAAGGAGTGTTCAATATTGCCATGAAAAAGAGAGAGAGAAAGAAACTGTCCAACACTATCAAAAACAAAATGTTACCTGTGTGCAGGGAGAGATGTCGGGACAACGTCTGCTGTCGGCCAAACACTTTTCCACACACATCACAGGGAAAGAGCTGGTCATTAAATTTCCAAGATGGTAACCCATTTCCAGCTTCCAGCCCTATCTTCTCTGTTTCTATTCCCCCCAAAAAGGAGAAAATACATTCTAGTATTAACAACTGAAAGGCATTTTTGGATTCCACAATGTATATCATTGGATATGTCATGGGAAACGCAATGCCACTGTCTCGGACCACTCATCTGGTTCTTGTGAAAGACCCAATCCAGCTTTACTGACAACCTTATTTTTGAGTGTTCCTCTTTTGCACAAAACCCTTCCTTAGAACAGGAACTTCCACAGAATTCATGATATAATCATTTTCAAAGCAAGTCTACAAACAACTCAGTAAATCAGCATGGAAGTAAGGGATACATAAGCACAAACCAGTATATAAAGGTCTGAAAACAAGATGCCACCAAAGCTGCTCTCTTTTACATCCATGTTTCAGGTCTACAAAATATAGGCTATTGTACTGACAACTTCAAATAACTCAGGGATCTAAGTCTGTCTTTGCATTGATTTCTTCATTACATTCTAAATTTCACTCCCATAGTAACATCAGCTCACTTTAAAAGCACATATACTTCTACTGAGATTTTGGCATTTCCAGTTTACACACAGAGATAAACACAGACATAGGGGAAAGGAAAGCAGGCACGCACGCAAGCACACACGTGCGTGCACACACACACACATCTTTACAAGTTCAAGAAATGTTGCTGGGTCAGGCTGTTTCTGTCCTGCATGTTTGAGCACTGCTGGTTATCCCAAGCAAACATGCAATATTCAATGAATTTACCCAGCTCCTGGAGAAAGCTTTTAATAAATGTAGACTTGTAAATGTGGACTTGAAGTTTTATATAACATGGCATCCCAACACCCACATTCCTAGTTATGCAGTGCTTGAAAAAACAATCCCTACATAAGTCTAGATTGGTAGAGAGAGACAGCACTCCATTTTATTCTCCTGGTTATGCATCCCATGGAAAAGGATTCTCTAGTTACTGTAGACAGGGATAATGAAGGTATACGATGCAATTGCAGTATACAATGCAACTCTCTTGTCCTGCATGTTTGGAAATTGCCTGTGGCTCTCTGGAGGGGTCTTCCAGTTATTAAAACCAGCAAAAGAGACAGGACACTGGAAGAGCGAAACCAGTGAATTTTGTGTTGGCACAATGACTCTGTAATGCTACTGCCACCATTTTCTGATTTAATGGCACCACAGTCTGCACTAATGATTTACAAAACATTTAGAATATCCATTATTTTATCACAATTTTAACCAACAGAAAGGAGATGCAGTAGCTAAGAGACCTGTCCACCTTTGTTACAACTGGGCATGCCACTGCACCAATTCATCCCATCACAGTTGCTATTAGTGTGCTTTTAACAATGACAGTTCTGTTTCATGATATCTGCAGCTATAGCTAAGACTTTACATTTATGCTGCATCTTTCATTCATTTTTCTAGCATAAAATGTGCAACTCTGAGGAGTTAAAGCCATAAATAACAGAAGAAGGCAAAACAGAACAGAGTAAATTAACTGATCTGTGACTTTGCTTCTCTAAAGTAATCATTTATGGACTCGTAGATTTTTAAGGCAAGAAGATAACTATTATGGTAATCATACTTGACAGTCTGCTTTAAAACTGTTGTAAAAATTCACCTAGCAATTCCTATAGCTAGCCCATAAGTTCTGGTTCAGTTGCAGCATTTCTTGTGGAGAAAGAACCTAATGTGATTTAAAGATCAGTAGTGATTCAAAGCACCACTACTGATGCTACATTTACTCTTTTTTTCTTCAGTTTTTCCAGCAATATCTAATTTTAAGTTGATGGTCAATCACATTCTTGTTACTCTGGTGAGTCAATGATGCTTTCCTCAGATGAATTTCCTAACATGCAATGAAAGCATGATAGGAAATTCACATAACTGGACTGTCTGAAGGGATCCAAGATGTGGCAGCTTATGTAGCTAACCCACATTTGAGAACATGCCAGAGCACAGTAGCTCTGAAGTATGCACTATACAAGGCATCTTCAGACAACCTAAGTTCTGTGCATTGACTATAAAGCTTGCCATGTGACAGTTACAGGAATTGCCTCAATCTACTCCTTGACATCCCTGCCAGACTTTTACATTTGTTCTCATCTTTCTTGGTAGGATCCTTGTTTTCTGCTTAACTAGGAAGATAAGAGCAGAATACCCAGAATCCTGGAGCAATTTTACTTTCAATTTCCTTACTTTAACCCAGAAAACTATGAACAAATTTATCACGTTGAAGAGAGTTCAAAACTAGGAGCATGTCTTTCCCTGTTAATTTGTGCTAGCTGTAGGTAACATTCCAAAGTGGGTTAAAATAGTAAAAATAAGTATATAAATCTAGGATAGTAACGTGGTAATGTAGATTCATTAAAAGCATCTTAAAGGGAATCAAGATACCTTTGCAAGTACAAAAAGTGAGGAAAATCTGGTGTGCCTCAGGACTACACTATGGCTGCCCTACTAGGCCCAACACAGCTCATCAGACATGCACAGAGCCCCACTGGAGCACCACAAGCCCCCTCTTTCTGCTGCTTGCCTAAGACTGGAAAAATAGGCATTATCTGGGACCTTCTGGGCTTAGTTCATCAGCTTCGCAGATCTGATATACCAGTGCAGCTCAGTATGTACTGACAGAACTGTATGAGTACACGGATCGGTATGTTACCTTGGAGACTGGCTATCAGAGAGAGGGCCTCCTTCTGTAATGAGTAGCCCAATCACTAAAGTCATCTGAAAAAGCCAACCTAGTCATGCCATATTTTGCAGAGATATACCATATGATGACTCGAAGATGCTATCCTCATTCATTCAAACGACTTGTGTACTGCTTAATATCCTAAGATCTCCAGGTGGCACATATAAAATATAATATAAAAACCAGGGTAGAAACCAGGATATTAAAGACATTACACCAAGTGTCCTCAACATTTTTGGTCCATGGACAATTTGAGTACTTGAGAAACTGCTGTGGACACCACCATAAAATGCCTAATCAGTGGACTGCCATTTTGACATATGCCTGTTGCATCTATGCAGCTTAAACTGCATGTTCCTGAATAAAAACTTTCGTTTTAAGCCCAGTGGACACAGAGCAGAAGTTGTCTAACTCAGCTTTTAAACCTGTTTTGGCAATGTCCACTTGTTGCCTCTTTAGTGTGGGAGGTTATTATGCAGTTCCATGTTCTACTGAAACAGCCTTTAACATGCATTGCTGTACACACTTTTAAAATTATTTGCCTGCTTCATGAAAATTAACAAATGCTCAGCCTCAATGCAATGTTTTGACAGGTAAAAGACTGATTTACAATATTGGAAGGATAAACACTGACTTCCTATAATGCAATGTATTGAGGACATTGCCTCATTATTTGAATGGGTAGCATACATGGATACCCATTTGGATATTCGGTCCACTTTTGTTGGAGCTTATGTATAATTGTTAAAGAAAAGCTGTATGCATTTCATAGACATCCATGCTTCTATGTTAACACTGGGTGTCCATGGACACCACATTTGGGAAGCCTGCATTACAGTAAAAGAGAAAATGTGATTGCAAGTGAATTCTCAAATAAAAAGATACATCTAAAGAAGTGCATAAAGCTCTCCACAGTTTCTGCCTCTTGAACCACATATGAGAGTTTGTTCCATTACCAAAAAGGCCTGTTTACATGCTGATATCAGAAGATGAAGTAACTGTGGAATGAACTACCCTTAAAGATCCAACAAACACCTACAATGTAGGTGTTCCTCCAGCCAGTAAAACCACAGCTATTCATGTAAGTGTTCTTTGGCACTGATTCTGAGTACTGGCCCATTGCATTTTGAATATTTGTTCTTCATTTACTGCAGATTTATTGTGCCAGTTTTAGTTTACAAACTACCTTATTATTTTTCATGATGTTATGTAGTCTGTGATATGATGATGATGTGCCACACAAACTGGAATGCTTGCAACAGTCCTTATGAAAGTATTTTGTGTGACTCCTACAAACCTTAAGTTACCATGGCTGCCATCTTCCCATTTGGCTGCAATATAGATGTACTATCTGATAGTGCTTTTTTCCATTTATATAAAGCCAGAACTATCCGGATGGATTGTCAGTCAAGGGGTCTATATATGAATGATTATAATTAATTCAAGAAAGACCTGAAAGCCAGCTTGACTGAATGGCAAGGTTCTATGCGGTGATTGCAACAGGCTATTCATTATAGGATCCATCTCCCAGTAAAGCCATAGTTGATGCAGCACCTGGAACAACAAAAGCTTGACACTTGAAGGGTGTCCTCTGGGTGCTACCATTATCTGCTATTTGTCTTATAATAACATAAATTATCCTTAATGTGTGATTACTCACGCTTCTTCCAAATTAGCCCTTCTGCAAAGTTTAAAAGGCAGAAGGAGGGGAAATGGCTGAAGTATGTATCAAGCTTTTAATGTCCCTGAAATCAATTGTGAACCATTCTTTCAATTATTAGTCTTGAGTTCAAGACAACGGTCATTTGACTCTAGAACAGCAATAGATGTTTTAGCAGAGATTTTGAGTACTTAATCAAAACAGTGCTTCAGAAGGAGGAATATGGGAATGATTATGAGAAAATGTCAAGTGTATGCCAGTTCCTAAAGCACAGTCACTACGAAACTGAATTAATTTGGACACAAACAAGTAGACTCAATTAGAAGTCAATGTGCCTCTTAAAAATTCCACTCAGTCATTCGTCATTATCATATTAAAGTAGCTGAAATCAGAAACCATATTTCCTGCATTATATATATAATCATGGAATTCCCCTAGGAAAATGTAAAAGTATCCCTTTTCAAATTCTCCCAAAGGTGCTGAAACTAGTTTTTTGTATAAGCTTATATTGCATCTATCTAGAACATGGAAACTATTTTGCTTTAATTTTCCTCTAAATGCCTGCAACTCATTGCAACCTTCTGGGAATTGGTTTGCCCATTTTCCCTAATATGCTTTCCTGTCCAACTGTGCTATAACCTATTCTTTGCAATGTATTCTCAACTTCTAGC